CCTGGCTTAAGACCCTACTTTGAAACCCCAAGCACTGTCTTGAAGTTGAAATTCTATCTTGTCTATTTCCACTGCCAGTTGAAGTTTACTGTCAAACTAAACATTCATTATGTTGAAAGAAACTACATCTGTAATATTTTACAAGTCCGCTAGCTAAATGCTAACACACGATATAAAACGTCACAGATGTGCTAACGAAACTAGCATCGCTGTTGCTGTCTTATAACCCTTCACGTGACAGATCACTGAACGCTAACCATGTGCTAACACAAGGAGACAGACAATATTCACAAGGATATATTCGTTATCCAATTCGAAAACAACTAATATTACTGCATCACACTGAACAGTTGTGATGACTGCGTGTCGTACCTGAGTTCTGTATTCTCCAGGTCTTTGTGAAGGGCGTGTCCGGCGGGACCGATTCACCTTCTCCAATCGTCACATCTTCCACAAACGACATGGATGGCGTGTTGATGCTGGGACTTTCAAAGTCATAATAAGCGCCTATGGCAGCCTGAAGGTTCCTGGTAGGAAAAGATGTCAGAGGTGATGATGGTGCCAATGCCAGCAGTGATTTCATGCTTCACAAGCAAATTTGGAAGATAGTACACCTTTGAAACCCTAATTTCAAACCCAAACTCTGACTTGTAAAAGTACTTCAAAACGCTAACCCAAGCTTGAAATTCTAAATCTAATTGAAACCCTAACCCTGGTTGCAAGCGCAAACCCTACCTTGAACCCGTAATTTGAAACCATACTTTGAAACCCTACTGTCAAACCATAACGATGCCTTAAAACCTTACTTAGAAAAAGTAATTTTGGCTTGAAATTCTACTTTTAATTCCTAACACTGGAATAAAGCACCCATTAAAAAACCCAAACACAAGGTTGAAACCCTAACTCTGTTTGAAACATTAACCCACGCTTCAAACTCTCACCTTTGACACCCCCACCTTGGTATGGAACCTTCATTTGAAACGGTGACAGTGGACTTGCAGTTGAAATGCTAACACATGCTTGAAAGTCGATGAAGTCAAGATGGCGCCCGAGTAGGCAGCCGTCAGCAAGTGCTCTCATGAGCCTTGCTTTTTTTGTTGTTTTTGTGTTTGTTTTGTCACTTTGTGTTTGTTGTTACGTCGTGTGGACCTGATGTGGACTTTTTTCAGCATTTTTTGGCCACGGCATTCATCAAGGAGGAGACTCTGTGCTTGGTGGTTGCGCCTTCTCGGCAGCATGGGTATACCAGCACTGTTTTTGACTGGGAGGAATGTCGGCGCCAGTTGCTGGACAGTCCCGGGGCGCTTGTGTCTTGTGCCTGTAATGGGCAGCATTTTTCACAGCCCCGCTTTGTTCAGCGGAGAGATCGGTGCTGTTGAACGGTCTGCGGCTGGATGGATGCATGGCTTGAGGAGCCGACGATGAGAAGAAAGGAGCGTTAGCGCAGAGC